CGGCCAGCAGGCGTTCCAACATTTCTTCAATTTTCATCATGTGGCTGTGTAAAACTCGTTTTAACTTGTGGCGTGTTCAAGTTCGTAAAACCAATTCTGACACCAGTGTAACGTGTTTTGTTACTGAAGATGGCGTTCGGATTGAGAATTGGTTTATTCAACAACCTACAAGTAACGGCTACAATTAATTATAACAAAGTTGCTGGGTTTCACACTTTATAACCCTATTCGCAATATTCTATTCACTCTATAGTCAGTAGTCTACACGTTTCACAGTACGGGAGCTATACAAGTGTCACTGTGTTACACACTCCCAATTAATTCTCAGTTATCACAAACTGTCACTGAATATCACACACTGTCTCCGGGGACGGCTAAAGGTTCACTCAACAACTGAACTCGGCGATGGCCACATTTCAAATCACTGTAGCGGGTATGCAGTTCCCTTATATAGCCGTAGTGCTTGCCTGTTATGCAATGAGTGCCTTGTCACAATAGGAACCGGTGCCACGTCGCCATGTTGCGTCACCGCGTGTTGCACGTTACATCACAGTGCAGGGGGGGGTGAGGGAGCGCTGACTCACCTGCCACAGCACTGCTTGGGGGAGGGGGTGTTCCTCTGTTGCGCAACATGTCACAATATCAATGACATTGCCTAATTTTATTAAAGAATTATATAATTACACTGAAACTTACTTCACACTTTTCAGTTGACTTTTGCTCTAAGGCAGTGGTCGGCGAACCGGGGTAAATTACCCCAAGTGGGGTAAAAATGAAATTCTTGGGGGTAATGAGGACTCAAGAGACATAAATGAAATTATATAAAAAACGTGTTCCTTGTTACAACAGAAAATTTCTTCCGGCATATAACCATCCATAAGAACAGCTGCTACGGAAATTGTTTAAGAGTCCATCATGGCAGCATGACGTCATCACTAAACACTTCTATAGATAAACGCACCCAGCATGTTGTAGACGATAGCGTTAGTTGTGGCTCGGCAGCAGCCAGCAGAAGAGTATGTGTTGTATAAGTCATTTTGTCCTAGTCACATATTGTTTTATATTATGCTCAAAAACTTCGACGATCAAGGTAAGATAGTGTCTTATTAGCAAGGATTTACTATCAATAAATTCATTCATTCATTATTTAATAAGCAAGCAAAATGAAGTTTTTCATGAAACCGACGCACTATCATTTATGTGCAGTAGTAGCAGTTTGATCTTGTCACACTGAATCGGTAATTTCGTGTTATAGTACATGTGCAACTAACCGCCTGAGCAATGGCGTGGCCTCCAGTACTGACTTACACATATTGTACATGCGGAGGTTTCCTTCACATTACGCGTCCTCATGTAACTAACAAACGCTTGTGCTGAAGGGTTAAAACTTTTTGAATCACTGTCTTTTTTACCCCTCAGATGACATCAACTAGAAAACAAATATACCAGGAAGAGTTCCTCAATTATGGGTTTACACAAATAGAAGATAAAGGAATAATGAAACCACAGTGTGTGGTCTGTTTGAATGTACTGACTGTAGAATATTTCAAAAAGAGTCAAATGAACAAACACTTGAATAATTTGCACCCACACCTGTCTTCTAAACCGCGGGAATACTTTGTAAATTTGGAAATGTCTGTCAAAAAACAAAGACTGAACAGCAACTTGAGAAGTACATTCGATCAACGTTCAGCATCAAAGGCCAGATTTGAAGTGGCCTGGTTGATTGCCCAAAACAAGAAACCACATACTATTGGTGAGCAATTGGTTAAACCAGCGGCTTTGAAAGTGGCAGAGATTATGTGTGGTCAGAAAGAAACTGTGAAACTAAATTCACTGCCCTTGTCTGCAAAAGTTGTGAAAGAAAGAATTTCTATTTTAGCAGAAAATGTGAGGGAACAAGTTATTTCTTCAATAAAAGAGAGTAAATGCTTTGCTATTCAGCTTGATGAAACTACAGATGTCAGTAGTAATTCGAAGCTGATGGTGTATGTTTGCTACAAAGGTTTACATGCAATTGAAGAGTTGTTGTTGTTTTGTTCTCCCCTTCAGTTGCGATCTCGTGGAATTGATGTCTTCAATAAAATTAATGAATACTTTAATAACGCTAATTTAAAGTGGGAAGACTGCATTGCTTTGTCTGTTGATGGAGCTCCAGCTATGTTGGGTCATGTTAAGTGGGTTTTCAGCTTTGGCGAGAGAGAAAAATCCAAAAATTGAAGTTAACCACTGTATGATCCATCGCCAGGCACTGCTTGTGAAACGTTTGGAACCTGCACTGGAAGCCGTCATGCATGATGTTATCAACGTTGTCAATGTCATCAAAAACATGCACTAAACATACGACTATTTCGTGAATTATGTACAGATGGGGAGGCTGAAAATACAGACCTACTTTATCATACAGAAGTGAGGTGGCTGTCATGTGGAAATGTTCTGAACAGAGTGTGGGTTCTTAAAACTGAACTTGAAACTTTTGTGGTTGATCAAAAGCATGTTCTCGCAGATAAGTTTACAAACTCCTCGTGGGTTGCACATCTCACATATTTAGCTGACATTTTTGAGTA